TGCATACAAAAGAGGCTTTCATTTTTGAAAGTTAAATTACAGAGAAATTAAAGAAGCAGCTTTTCCAAGCATAGGCACAGATTGAAATACTTTTGCATTAATTAATATTACAAACTTATGTTTATAGTGGAAAAGTTAATTTGAAAGAAAAATATTCGTCTTCCTGATGCCATTAGTACTATCAGCATTTTTCATTCTGTGTCATTCCTGAGGAAGGTTAGGAAGGCAGCAGCAGACAACCTCCATGTGTGGCAATATGGAAGCTTAATTTAAAAAAATTAATTTACCAAAGATATTGTGTAAGTGTTTGGAAACTATAATGGCTGTGATGCCTGAGAGAAGAGAGAGAAATCCCTAATGTGGTAGAAGAGCCTGCAGGGAGTATCCGAAGTGCAGGGCTGGGTTCAGCCAGTTGGCTCACTAACTTCTACTGGACTACTAGAAACATTCCCCTTCACAGTTTGCTCTGAAATACATTCTCAATTATTTGTGTGTACCTTTGACAAAATTCTCTCCGTACACAGGACCTGCTGTACTCAGGTTTTTGGAACCCAAAAACAAGCTCTTTATTGATGGTGAGGTCAGGGCGCTTCTGGGAACAGTGGCTCGTTGGTTACCAGCTGCTCCCCAGCCAGAAGGAGATCGTCTCTGTTTGAATGAGTCATACTTTGGTTCTTTTTCTTATTTAAAAAAAAAGACGACTGTTGTACTATTTGCTGTGATACTTCTTTGTGGTGCGATTGATGGACTTCAGAAAAATGTTAACTAGTATCAGAATTACTGGCAGAAATGTTTCACGTACAGCTTCTGCATGTACGTGCTGGGTGCCTTCTAAATGGCATCCTCATGCTGCTGCTTGAAGAGTCGGTAGCCCTGTGAGCAGTGCTTTCCCTTTCCCATCCAAGTGAGATAAGAAGTTGGCTCTTAAGGTGCCAACAGTTTCTATTGGTTTTAGTTTTTTGTTTTGGCAAATTTTGTTTTAGATCGGGGAGCCTAAATGGAAGTTGGAAATAAAACTCTCATACATAAATAGCAGTGAAACAAGCAACTATGCTAACCTCTGCTTTCAGTTACAGTAACATAAACTTGAGGAAGCTTTGCTGATACCTTCTGCATGCAAGTGTAGGTAGAATTTGGCTCAGTAGTCAACTCCTTAATCACTGGATTTTCTGGTATGCAGCTAATTCTGCTCAGCATATGCTACTGCTATTTTTTTTATGTTATACATTGGTTTGGGAATAATATTGAGATACCAGTGTTCCCAGTCTGAAATTGGAAGCCAGCGTTGGACAGTCTGTTTTTCATTCATTTTGTATTTGTCACTAAAGAAATACCCCAATATTGGTAATGATCCCAAAAACTCAAATGAGATTGTTGAATAGTAGTTATGCATGTTTAAAGTCAGTTCGTGCTATGAATGATGAAAAAATACTGAAGCCTTAGGACAGGTGTCTTGTCATTGTAAATAAACTTTAAAAGCAGAATCCACTGATTTAGGGACAGGGTTGTTAACAGTTTCAGACCAAGCAGAAAATTTTGCTTGTGCTCTGTGATGCATCTGGAGCTACTGATAGGAAGTGTAATATCAAATAAACTTTCATATTGCATTTCCTAATCTTAAGAAGTTGTGGTTGTTTCAGACAGGACTATAAGTTCATAGAAGAAAACATGAAATTTGTATATGTGTGTATTTTAGGTTCTTATTAAAAAAAATGCCTTGCTTAAATGTCGGTAATCACTGATCCACACTGATGTGCCTTTTGGTGAGTTAGTTAAAATGCATCTCCAAATAATACCATGAGAAATATGGCTTGTCTATACGGCTTATATATGTATATATAAAATATGTATTATTTTACTTATAAGTAGATAGAAGAGGAAATGCCTTGAGAGGTCCTATCTGGTTTTGGCTTTGCTAACATTTCTTATCTGGGCATTTAAAGGCAAGTCAGCAGCTGATGTACAAGGCTAAAGATGAAATATATCCAAAGAAACAGATGGATGGAAAAAATGAATTAGTAAGAGTCTTGTTAAGCTTTGGAAGGTCGATAAATGACATATCCTTTTTGTTCTATTTAAGAAAGATTGATGATCTGACAACATAAAAAGTTATTAGTCATACAAAGCAAATAGAGGGCAGATAGAAATAGTACTTTTTGTGGGGGTTTGGGGCCGTCTAAGCTTTTTATCATTGTGTCAGTTTTGTGCTTTTCTTTGTATGTAGATTTACAAGTAAAAGATATTAAAATTGTCCTTGCTGGGAAATGACTGGCCATCATATGCAGCGTTTTACCCACTCATATTCTTTTGAGCTGCACATTACCATTCCATTGAAGTGTTCAGTTACTCTTATTAAGAAATTTGTATTTATTCTTAAATTTATAAATGTTGCTCAACAACCTGACAATGGGAACTCACACTGTAGGACTGACTTGGCTGTTGGAATGTTGACAACATTATTTTAAAATGGTTATAAGAATTAAAAATCGGTTCAAGATAAGCCCATCTAAGATTTCTTAAGAAACAACTTTGCTTAAAAAAAAGTTAAAACATTCTTTCCTGTTGAAGGCCAAGGATGCTCTTTGAGGTTACCTGGTGACTGCACAGAAAAAGCCCCCGGAGGGGATTGTCCATAAAGGAACTAGAAAGTAACAGTCCTTTTTCTCTGCATGTTTTTCTACTGCTGATCGACACAAAACATTGTTATTTGGAGATTTTTCTAGTAGCTCTCCAGCCTGCATAACACCACCATTCACAAGCTTCTGAGGGGAGAAAGAGCAAGTGTGCCAATGCAACCAGAGCTGCTAAATAACCCGTGTTGCTCAGGATGCCCTTGCCCTGGACCATGCTAGGAGTGGAGGAACAGCAAAATCCTGTTCCAGGGTAGAGGACCCTCATGATGGAGGCATGTTGTTAACCTTTCAATTGCAAGAAGAATGAAAGTAGAGCGATCAAACTTCAGCGTTCGATAGCATTCAGCAAACAGTGGTGGAAATGATCACTGTATATTTAGCAATGGGAAGGTTGTAAATGTCTGCACCCTAGTTGCGTGGTCAAAGAAAAGACAGTTGAGATTATAGCAAAAAGCTTAGCCCCTCAAAACCTGCATTTTCTTAGTACATGCTAGGCACTGTCTTGAACTAATGCAAACCCCACTACATTTAATATAGATTTTAAAAGATAAACCAATAAAATGTGAATTCCATTCTCAAAAATATGAAAGTCAAAATTACCATTTCCCTGCCAGCAATTATTCAGCTTCTTACACTTGTGCAATCTTTCATACAGCTTTGTATGATGTAAGTTTCCTTTATGATGTTGTATTTTTTTAATTTATATGTATGTATGTATATGTTCTGAATTCATAATTTAGATGAGAATTGTAACATGTATCTCTTAATCTCTTCAAAATGGAAGTCACAACTCTTATTCCACAGTACAGTGGTCTGTGGCAATAGCTTATTTTCTTAGTGAAACTTATTTTACCCAAACCAGTAGTGATGGTATTTCTTTGACGGAACAAATTTAAATTTGATAGTGTCATGATTATCACAAGCTCCCTCTTATTTAAAGGGTTTATGAGATATGAGCTGCATGTTGGTTTTGGTGGGTGATTTTTCACATACTTCTATCACAGCTGAAACTCTCTCTGGTATTTTGTTTTACCAGTTTTTTATTATTTCCTCTTAACCATTATGGTTATGTAAAGATGGAAGCTGTTGTCTTTTAAATTTGCTTTCTCTTCTTATCTGGTTCTCTTGCGTCTATCCACACTGGGAATTAGAATAAGTGAATCATGTTTAATTTCTTTTAAATGCAGTTCAAGCAAAGTGAATTCGTCAGTTTATTCAGCTAGTGTAGACTGGGGTAAATTGTATTTCGGTCTCACCTAAAAATTTACCCAATGTTTAAGCCTTGTGTGCATTTTATATTTTGTGGTTTTAGCATAGTTAGGTCTCATTACAGTCTTTTAAGGAGTAGTTTTAGCAATATATAAGACAAGTTTAAACACAGTTCCCAAACTTGGTTTTGAAGCCAAAGTAAATGAGGTCTTGTAGTGCCACATTCCAGTGATTCTGACATCAGAGGAATATCTGCAGTAATAAACTTTAATATAAAAGTGGCTGAATTTTTATATGCCTGCAAGAAGCAAGACTAGGGTCTGACATGAAGAAACATTAAGCTAATCATTCAAGACACTAACAAATTTTTTCATGAAAATTTTTTCCCTCTCTGATTTTTTGGGGGGGGGGGGGGGGAAAGGCAAGATACCTATATTTTGAAAAAAAAAAAATGTTATTTTTAAAAAGGCTCAATAAAACTAGTTATTTAATTTTGTTCAGTGTTTTGTTGTTGTTTCAGGTTTCCTGATACTCTGCTGCAGTCTGTGGAGCTATCTCTGTCTTTTTGTGAATTAAGGAGAGAGAATTATGCTAAAAATTATCTGAGCGCTGAGATGAAACAAATTAAAACCCCAAAGTATTTTGATATATTTGCATAAATGGACTTGTATCTAATGTATGTTATAGATACTTGAATACAAAACATTCAGTATTCATCACATTTGCAGTGTTTTTATAAACCTTTTGTGAGATTTTCATTCTGGGAAAAATAATTTAAAAAGACTTGTAAAAGTTACAAACCTGATTCATACCAGGAAACTGGATTGAGGCAGATAGCAGAGTAGGACTGCATCACCTTGGCTTTGTATGGCTTGGCTGAACTTTGCCAACTAGAAAGAACATTCACTTTCCACTGTTGGTGCCTCTCTCTGCACTGGCAAGGGAAAACTGGGAAAAGCTACTGATGAATGTGCGCTCAGCTGTCTTTAAGCTGATCAGCTCTTTTGCCATCCCTAGATTTTAAGAGGAAAATGAGTTTAGTGCAATGTCTTACAATCCAGAGTAGAATTTTTTTCTCGTTGTAACATTTACAGGTTTTATAGTGCTGATTCTTTCAAATTTTTCAAATTAAAGAGTCTTCATCTTGTTTTCTTTCAGATTCTTCTCATTCTTTTCATCGAGATGAGACTATAGTTATTGCCCTTGCATCTGTGTCTGTACTGGCTGTTTTGATTGCTGCTCTGTTCTTTGGATACAGGATGCTT